GGCAAGCGATCAGTCAATATACAGAACATAGGCTACGTGGTTAAATTAATTATTAACCTATCTTTGCGCTTAGCCAAAACACGTTACCTAAGAACAAGTAATAGATTCCAATGACCAAAGTCGGGGAATATGTCAATGAATATAGACAACAAGATTAATTAAATATGACGTTTAGCAAATATAGTGAGATCAGATCCAGAGGGAGATGCTTGATGAGCAGTCCGACTAGCAGAGCTCTCATCTTGGTAGATAGGCTGCAGCGCTTGCACGAGAGTGTGTGTGTGGTCACGTGATGTGCGTTTTCAGCGTTTTGGTGTGGACGAAGAGCAGTTCAGAAATGCTGGGTGAAATGCTAGTGTGGACGCGGATCATTTTCATTCTAAAACGTCGTTTTAAAACTAAAACGCACTAGTGTAAACGGGCCTAAGTGTATCAGAGGGATGTCAGATCAGTATGTGTAATAGGGTATATACAGAAATCAGAGAGTGACATTCAATATATTTTAAGACCTTTTTAAAGACACTTTCCATACATTTTAAGACCTCATGACCACTTTAGGTATCAACGGTAACATTGGCGACATTTTAGCTTACAGTATATTTACTAAATACTAGGTAGTATGTTTTTGTTTACTCCATGTAGTTCTGAGAGCTGAGGTGCTTATTTAGATTTTTTCAGACGTATCAAGGTAACTGTGCAAAGGCCACTCTCACACTCTTCACACACATTCAAAAATGCTGTTATACTCCATGTAAAAGCCAGAAATTAAGGCTGTGTCCGAAACCGCATACTTCCATACTATATAGTCCGCTACAATCAGTATGCGAGCCCAGGAGTTTGCCCGAATTCAAGATATTCGAAAATCAGTGTGTACCCAGATGACCTACTACTTCCGGCGAGATTCTGAAGTGCGCATTCCATGCATGCTGCACTATCCCATGATGCCCCGCGAGAGAATTCATAAATGGGAGTGAAACGACGCAACTGATGCAGGTAGGTCATGTGACCATGACAAAATGGTGAATGTAGTATGTCCTAATTCCATTCATCTTGCTCACATTTAGACTGTTTAGAACGTACTTGCAACGTTCTAACGGCCGTGTAGTACATTTAAATTTAAATGTAGTACCTACTGAGTTATAGGCTGTTTCAGATGAAGCCTAAGCTTTTTTTGAACAGCCATATCTAAAGGGTTTATGGTGCCAACTAATGATCCAAAATTACAAATGGTACCTCTTATTAACAGGGAACAATACCGGTAATCAAGGATGCATAATTATTTGGTGTCATGGCTTTGCAATCAAAAAATGTAAATCTGATGCTGCGTTAAAACTAACAGTGTACAGTATCAAAGCCAATGTTATTTCAAATGAGACTGCAATAAAAGGTTAAAAATATCCAGTCCACAATTCCTTTTTATATTGAAAATAAGTCATTAAATTGGCAATTAAAGAGTGTAAAGCATAGTGGTTTTAATCAGGATTGGTTGAGTAATAATTTTATGCAAAACTATTTGAAAAATATATTTTGAGCAGTTTAATTTAGTGGATGCTGTCATCGCGAGCATAAAGGAAGGGTAGTAATTTTGCCCACAGTGTATTGTTGAGTTTTTAAAAATTTTCAAAGAATTTTTCCAAAATATGGGTCAAACTAAGATTTGTCACCAAAAATCATTTAATTTGATGAAAAACATTGTAAGTTGTGCCCAAATAAAGACTCAACAGCACCTCATAGTGGATGAAAACTTTCCTAACAAAACATAAGGGTCAAAGTCTAAAAATTGTGACATAAAGAACTTTTTTAACAATTAAGTTAGAGCTTCAACATTTTAATTCAAAATTGTACAATAAATTGGAAGTCAGCAGAAAGTCAATACTGTAAAATATAAATGTTACATCCCGTGTTGGGTTGTTTATGGTTATTTTTGTTGTGTTTTTGTGATTTGCAGAGCCTGGTGATTAGTGGATAGGTCATCTCACCTGAGACCCATTATGTGCCGTGTATAAAGACCCCAACATTTGACATGAAAAAGGACCTTAATTAGCCGGACCCACCTGCCAGTCGCTTTGATAATTGTATTTTGGATCATGAGCTCAGTTTACCGTGCACACGCTTTTCAACATTGATTTACATTTATACTAACTTTGGTTGCTTTAAATGTCTTTTGTTAATAAATTATTTGTCTTCATGATTTACCTAGTCCGCATTGTCTCTCTTATGTTTACATTTTGAGCCGCTTCTAACAATTTTTTCTAAATGCACTTTGTAAAGAAGTAAAAAATCTAAGCTCAGAATTCCAACATACAAACTAAGAATAGCAAAAAAAAAGTTAAGAATTAAAAAAATATAAACTTAGAATCAAAAGATAAACTCAGAATTGAGATATAAACTGGGTGGTATAAACTCACAATTGCAAAATATATCATCAAAATTGAAACAGAATTCATAATAATCTAATAAATTCTTCTCTTTCTTATTATTATTCTTTTGTGATGTGATTGGGCATCCAAAAGAAATCAGCTTGCAGCATACATTTTTTAAAGATAAATCATAATTGTAGCCAAACTGTCAACATAGCAAAGAAGATTCAAAATGTTTTGCTCATCAATAATATCATTTTTGAGCATTAAAGCAAACAAATGACTATATCAGTTGTAAATTGACTTTTTAAAACCGACTATTTGAACAGATTCATGTAATTTATAAAATTAAACTACCAAATTAGATTATCATAAAAATTACCAAAATAAATTATAGATGGCAATTAATCATCTCCTCAATGCTCTCATATTCACAATTTGTGAGAGAGCGAAATTTTTAATAACTATGATGCATTTATACTCATTATATCACCCAATCATGGTACAAATATGAACAACGTTTTCTCACCTGTGGTATCTACACATGGGCAGATGCGTAGAAATATTGGCCGTGCATATGGAGGAAGAGCTTGCTGAACCTCTTTTAGGAAAGAATTACAGTTGAAGCTTCCAGTCGAGTCAGCGATGGCAGCCATTCCCGCTTTTCCCTCCACACCTGTACAAACACACATGAGCAGGTTTATGAGGAATCAGAGGTTTACACTTTGGAATTATAGACTAATACTTCAATTGTTTCACCTGGTACGTTTACTCCAAACACTGCCACATCAGTCTGTCTCAACAGGCCGCTCAGCGTTCCCTCTACTTCAGTGGTGGACACGTTCTCTCCTTTCCAACGAAACGTGTCTCCGCTTCGGTCTCGGAAATACATGTATCCAAGCTCGTCCATTACCAAAACATCACCTAAGAGTCACCAGAATAAAAGAAAAGTTTACAGGGTGAGTTCACAAAATAGCAGAATGAGTTTTTTTCGACATGTTTTATTGATTTATTTATTTTTTTTTTTTTGGTGCTTTAGCTTAAGGTACATTTAAATAAGTGTGAAATTAAGAGTATGTATGTTGCACCATTTTTTTTATTTTTTTAATTTAGCACTTTTGATTTTATCCTTTCTGCCCTCTTGAGACAATATGCATGTGACATGTATGATATATGTGCCTTATTAACCATTTAAACTGTATAAAATACAAAAAATACAAATTGTTTTTAAAAATGAATGGTGTATATAGACTTTATTCACTGCTGCAAAGAAGCTGCCATAGCGAGAGCAGCATTTCTTAACTGGTGGTTCTCAATCCAATAGTAGGTGCTATACCATTTTGATTCGGTTAAGGAGTGTTTTTAAGATGCACAACTTTGATTTTGAAAGATGTGTGTTAAAGCTATTTATGATTCTGTTTAATGCAGTTTAAGTGCAATACAAAACCGTTCTCCTAATTCAGTGCCTGCTGTTTTTTTCAAAATTATCCTATGACAAGAACGGGTTTTGTTTAATAGTCTTAGGACAACTTTGATGAAAGGTGATGATTCGCTTTAAACGATGATTGCTTTTTAAATGGGTATAAGCAAAGAAGACTTTAACACTATACCTTGGATTGCAAAAGAATTCACACCTCTTCTGTTTTTTCACATTTTGTTGTTTTTGCGGCTTTGTTAAAAAGCTTTAAAGGACCTATTTCTCCATAAGTCTACATTGCACACCCCATGGTGACAAAGCAAAATCCAGATTTATGACAATAAGTTAATATACTGGCATTGTGTTATCTAAAAATAAATGAACCATCCCCAGTTTTATGTATTTTGCAGAATCTATTCAAAAAGACAACATTTTTTTTTAGATTGGAAGAAATGTCATCTGTAGTTTTTAGAATAAAAAAATAAAAGTCTGTTTTACTCAAATATATTAAATATTGTACATTTTCCAAAGAAATGTCCAAATGGTCTCTTTCATTCATTAATTTTCTTGTCGGCTTAGTCCTTTTATTAATCTAAGGTCGCCACAGCGGAATGAACCGCCAACTTATCCAGCAAGTTTTTACACAGCGGATGCCCTTCCAGCTGCAACCCATCTCTGGGAAACATCCACACACACATTCACACACACACGCATACACTACGGACAATTTAGCCTACCCAATTCACCTGTACCGCATGTCTTTGGACTGGGGGAAACCGGAGCACCCGGAGGAAACCCACGTGAAGGCAGGGAGAACATGCAAACTCCACACAGAAACGCCAACTGAGCCGAGGTTCGAACCAGCGACCTTCTTGCTGTGAGGCGACAGCACTACCTACTGTGCCACTGCCTCGCCTCAAGTGGTCTCTTTTTTTCCTTTTTCAAATTTTGTGTATTTGAAAGAGGTCTTTAGCCTTGTCAGCATTTATTTGATATTGTCAAAAGTGTAATACTGAAAACATTAATTATTCTGACTATTATTAAAATCTAGCAATTCTTCTTATTATAATGCAATTATTCCTGTCATTCAAAGCTGATTCTCCAGTATCATTCCTCCAGTCTTCAATATCACATGATCTTTCAGAAACCAGCCTAATCTGATAATTTGCAGCTAAATTATTATTAGTGCTCGATTAATAATGGCTTAATAATACTATATGAAGAGTTAGTTAGTTTGTAAGTAAATCAAAAAAATTTATTTCAATTCTAAATCTGTAATATAAATAGGGCTGCACGATATTAGAAAAATCTGACATTGCAATATTTCGTGTTGCTGCAATAAATATTCCGATACCAATATAAATTTTTATCAGATGTCTAGATGTGAATGTCTATTTGGATTTCATCAATTTAGATCGACTAGACTAATCAAGTCTTTCTATGCAGTGCACCAGCATAAAATACTATAAATTAAAAGCCTTTATAATTACAACAGAGCAAACTTATAAGTTAAATAAACAGTGCTTTATGATTTAATGTCAGTGTTCAACAGAAGTCAAATATTAAAAATCGAACAATCAAAAATAAAATGACTTTGTTATCATTGCATAAATAATTATATGCAATAATATAAAATAATATTGAATAATATCTTTATTAAATAATCTAATCCGACGATGTGACTATTGTGGATACACACATTTCAATATCGATGCTCAAAACAATGTATTGTTCAACCCTATTTCTAACACATTTTATGAGATTTACTTTGGTAATCTCGGACTGCTGAATGGTACTGCATCATCATATAAATATTTTCAATATTTATGATTAAAAAAAATAATTAAGTACCATTATAATAATTTTTTGAAGTATCATGTGACATTGAAAATTGGTGTAATGATGCTGGCAATTACGTTTAAAATACAGAAATAACTATATAATAATTAAAAATGCATTTTAAAACAACAGTTTCTTTAAATTGTAGAAATGCATCCAAATATGACACTTTTTACACCTTTTCTGATCAAACAATTGCAGCTTTAGTGAGCACAAAAGACTTCTTTCAAAATCTGAACTGTAACTCTTGCCTGGTGGTGCAGAAAATCCATCAAGAAAGTTGAACTTCTACACAGTGAGAAACTTTCTGCCACATCTTTGTAGTGTGTAAAGCTGCACCTGACAGATAGGCAGAGTCGTTTTTCCTGAACACATTGTAGGCGATCTTCTTCCTGGTGGCTTCTTGACTCGCGTAGCCGTCAAACCGACGCAGAGGATCCTGCTGATTTATTCTGCCCACCAACAGCCCAGGCTCTCCTGTGAGCAAAAGGAAACACAGCAAGAAGAAAAGCACACAAAGGAAATCTGTTAGAGAAAAATGACTATTGATTTTTTGCAATCTAATGCTGTCAAATGCTGGTTTGCTTGTGTCTTAGATAAAACTTTGAAGCAATGGATCTAAACTTACAGCATTTAACATAGAGCTATGATAAAGGAAAATTAACTGGATTTAATGGATTTATTAAGTATGCGTTTGAGTAAAATGTTAATTTTCTTTTATTCTATAAGGGTCTGATCCTTTTTTTTTCCAAATTTCAAATAAAAACTTGTTATTTATAGTATTATATAGTATTTTTCTTCCAGAAAAATGACAACTGTTTTCATTTGGAAAATCAGGATTTGAAAAAAAAATCAGGCTTATTCTGCAAAAAACTGATTTCTTAACTATTCTGAAATTATGAAATTGGTATTGTGTTGTCAAAAATGTCTGAATACAAGGCACCCTGTGTTTATTCTGACCAACTGTGATTTTATGCTCTAATTTTTGAAATTCAGAAGATATATCATCAGTAATGTATCTAATATGAAATAAAAACTACTGGGGGTCAAATTGACCGTTTACTAAGCCACAACCGAAAAACACCACACACCAATTGTGGTTTAGCAACCAGAGTCCTGTCAAGCTTTCGAGCGAAGGAAACAAGCCAAATCGTTGTGCAAATTGATTGTGCAAATCTGACACCCGGTATCCTAAAAATTTGGACAGGGTGGTGGAATTTTTCCTTTTTTAAAACCTAAAACCCAAGAGGAGAAATGCCAGCATGGAACAAGCTGTGTGAGAGGTGCTAAAAGAGCGGAGATAAGTTGGTTTTGTTTTCGATAATCTTGACACATTCAGTGATAGACGGCAATAACTCACACACCTCCGGCCCTAAACAGATCTAAACTGTGTTTTCTACAAAAATACAAAGCAGGTTATGTTTCCCTGCTGTCTTTCTTTTTTCCGCTCAATATTTGAGCACTGCTCTGTTTAGGCCCTCGCCATAGTCGTCATACTAAAAGCAATCATATTTTCATCCGTTTCAAACTACAAATGTTCTAAAGTACATATCAACAGAACAAAACAGAGATGTGATCACAAAATGAGTGCTTGCAATCAATATACTCCACTACGCAGCTGTTTTTAGTCATTTATAGCCCTACTGTCCATGTTAGAGCTACAGTTCACTGATGTTTTTGTCCGCTGTTTAGAGATTTAGTTATTATACCAGTTTAGAGTCTGCTTGTATATTTGTTGTCTGATTAATATTTGCTGGTGGGGAAATTTGTTCACTTCTGCTATTTATACTTTGATTTGCATTTTGAATTCTGTATTTTTTCTACTTAACTGCAAATTAGAATAGAAACGGTATAAAAAGCACAAAAACATGCTGACAGTTATAGTTACTGTACATCGTTATGGGTCAATGATGCTAATATTCGGCACAAATCCATCAATTTTCCCTTTTTGGCTGTTCTTTCTTTGAATGAATTATGTAGAAGCACTGTCCATGCATATTTCCTCGTCGGTTAGTAACGATATATTTAATTGCACTACAATTAATTTATCAGACTTTTTGCTGTGGATGAGCTAAGTTGTTAAATGGTCAGCTTATGAGGCGGCTAGGCTAACCTAGCTTCAATATTGATGAAGTTATTTTCTAATCGGTTGCCTATTATGTCATGCCTGTAACACATACTGCTGTACTTTTTTTTTGTCTGGCTTTTTCAGATTTATTACCTGTTCGCCACAAATGACTAATTATATCCCCAGGGATGTCAGACACCGGCGCATACATATTGTAATAGACGTGCCAGGCAAGAAAGCTTGACAGGCGTAGACATAGTAACTAAGGAGGGCAGGGCTTAGCGAAGGGTCAATTACCTTTACTAGCTGTATTAATGACATTTTAGCCTTAATTAGCTACTAACAAGTACTAGTCAATAAACTTTAATACTGTTCAAATGCCATAATAAATGTAGACATAACCTTAAATTTAGAACATGAGGTTAAACATGTATAATTAAACATAATTACTAGCTTGTTGTTCAGTTAATTTACACAATGAATCCAATAAATAATATATGGCTTATCAAATTGTAAATAATGGTTAAAATGCCTTTACTATATGTCAGGTAAATCCTGAATTATGTGTTTGCTCATGCTTAATGGATGGATAACTGTGAACAAGTTAATCATGATTTACAAGTTTAACTGAGCTTAACTAATGCATAATTCGGGACCCTTAAAATGTTAAGTTAACCATTAATTACTAGTGCTTTTGTTTATAACTATTGCTTAATATTGTGAACAAATTAACCAGTAATTAATGCATTATTTTGGACCCTTAAAATAAAGTGTTACCAAACTAAATATTATTGTTTAGCTTAGACAAAGTTAAAAATACAGGAGCATCTCAAAGATAATTTAGTGAAACTGCAAAACTACCGAGCAGCTTTTCAAGTATTAAAAGAACAAAGCATGAATACATAACACTTGGCATTTCTACAAGAAAACAGGCCAAAATAATAAATGCATTCAGGTTCAATTAAAAAATCTGTGTTCTTTCAACCAAAACATTAATATCTAAAGTCTTCTTAAGTTAAAATCTTGGTGTTATGCTTTCAAAATTGGCATTCCTAAAAACTATATTAAACTATTTTACAACTGGAAGAAACGTTTAATAAATGTCATTAGCTGTTTGCAAAACAAAACAAATATTTCTACTTTACTCAAACACAACTATAAATCATGAATGTCAAACTGGTTTCCCAATGATTCCCATCACTGTATGTTGAAGTGAACTCTGAACAGTTGTGAACATACCAGGTCTGCAAGACACACACAGTCCCTGCTTGTCCCGAACAAGCTCCATGGTCTCCTCGTTCACCTTCACTAGCCGGATGGGGTACACGTTTGGCAGGATGCGACTGTTAAACCCACAAGCTCCAACCTGCCATGGTGAGAGTGAGTTTGTACTTTTCAGAAAGCTGAATTCATCATCTCAACATATGCGTTCAGTCAGAACAGTAGAGATGGGCAATAAAACTATTTCACAATATTTTCTAGACGTTACTTTACAATAAGGTTGATTTCGTTAAAGCTAGTTAAAGTATTATCTAACATGAACAAACTACAAACAACACATTTATTACAGTATTATTAATCTTTGTTAACGTGAGTTAAGGGAAATAAAGTTGTTCATTATTACTTACAGCAAATTAATTAATGATCAGCAAGAAATTGGATTTAAATTATGCTTTAGTATATGTTTAATGTTGTGAAAAAGGAATTACAAATGATTTTTTATTTAAACTAAAACTAGGAAAAGACTTTTTCTTTTCATGATACAATTATATTTGTATTGCTTAAGGTGATATATATTGACCACTCGAGTGTAATATGTTTTGCATTCTAATGAAGCATTTTTGCAGAAGTAGATGGAGCTGATAGAGATGCAAATGCCCGATTGTCTTAAATTAACATGAGCTCTGCAGCTAAACCTCTTGTAAATATGTTATAGCTGAAGACAGAATATGTGCAGTTGAGAAAGGCTTAGGCTTTTAATATTGTGCAGTGAATTTATAGAAAAAGAGGATGTATGTATGGGTGCGGCCAGGGGGGTGAAGGACTGAAGAATGATTCACATGTGATGAATTCCACTAAATTCCACCTGTTAATATCAGTTAAAGTCAGGAGCACCTCTGAATGTAACTCTTGCATTGCACTGAGGATAACAAAATTCTGTGAATCGATTAATTCATTTGTATCTAATAAATTGCTAATATGTATATACATTAAAGAAAAACCTCTACTGACCTTTTTTATTGAAAATGCATGGAACTGACTAAATATTCCAAAATATTATTAATCCAAGTATAATTAATAAATGCTGCACAACTGTTGTTTATTTTTAGTTCATGTTTGTAATTTATTCAATGAAAGCCTATTGTAAATAGTGACCATTTGTTGGTATTATTGCATGACAATATTCATGACGATCACATATGTACCCGTTGAGAGAGTTAATGTCCTGTATTTTGAAATACTGTATATTAAATATTTTTTAAAAGCCTAATAAAAAAGCAATATCTGTTTCATTCATCCTGGAATCTAGAGAGCGCTTAAACTCCACAGATCCATAACAGATGTACATAGCGCAGTAAAAAGAAGAAAAGGCTTAAATTAAGACAATAAACCTAATGGCTTTCTGGCTTTAAGTTTACCAGGGTACTTGTATAAAAATTAACTATAATGATTAACAACAGTGCATTTATCACTGTATAGAATGTCATAAAATGCTGTGATTTCTTCCTCATTGGCATGAAAGTCAAGTCATGGTCACATGAAGAAATTCATTCAAACATTCGACTGAGTGTAAATTTTGTGTTCAAAGATGTAAACAGGCTAGTACACATGCAGAACTGAATCGCACATGTGCTCCTGTAGCACAGTTATTCATTGCACAGACTGACTTTTTGTTGCACTGTATCGGTCTGTCAGGTGACGCCCCCCTCGTAAACACCGAATTGCATTATGGGACATAGCTGCCATTTGTGTTGTATCCGAGTTAACGTGAGCTGTTATATGGCTTTAGCGTCTTTCGCAGAGTAAATACAGTGTTACATTCTTGTTGTGTTTAGGGCTGTAATAGTAAATCACACGATCGAAGAGGTAAAAAATAATCACGACGACAGATATTTTAAATTTCCCACTCAGAAGAAAGGATATTGACGGACTGTAGCGGTAACAACAAGTGCATCGGGTGTCCTGGCCTGCTGCATTGAGACGCAAAATATATCATAATTTCTCCGTTTATGCTCTCAACATTTTCACAAAGGTAAGTACGTAAGAATATTTATGTAACTTTACAATTGTCATTGCTTGAGCTTCAAATAATTATATTAATTCAATGTTACACTTTAGTTTTGGGGGTAGAACTGCATTTAAATCTTAACGAATCAACTTAGTGCATATGGATTTAAGATTGTAAAGTAATTGATTGTTAACAAAATACTTTTTTTAACCTTAGTTACAACTTAGATTTGCTGATTTACTCACCCCCTGTCAAAAAGTACATTTTCGACTGTCCTTTTTCTGAAAACAAATACAGGTTTGTTGAAATCATTCCAATAAATGTTTTAAACCTTCAGTTTGTAGCTTCATTAAACTGCAGTTAATAAACCCAGTTCTTTTCACTGTAGAATAATATATATATATATATATATATATATATATATATATATATATATATATTAGATGACAAAGGGATCAGTAAATGTTCTTCAGGTTTTTTTATGCTCAATATGTCCTATTTCCATAAGCATATAGCATCATAGTACATTTATTCATCACTTATTCTTTTTACGTGTAATATTTTTGCTGTACACACATTTCTAACTTTGTCATTGCCAGCCAAGCTGCATGAGACGATGGAGATCTCCACATCTGGGCCACACAGAAACTACACATGTGAGGCATTTTCCCCTTGTTGTCAGACGGCATCTTGAGTCGTTTAAATGAAACCTCGTCATCGCTAAAGTTAACATTTTCTCTTTCTTTCAAATATATAACCAACCCAAACAAATGTAATTCACCAAAATGTTTGACACATACACGTAGCCTGTACTGTCGTACTAACACACTGACTGATTATATGTCACAAAGTAAAATAAAGTGGCGTTTTGAAATGACATAAAACACATACCCTGGTAAATACTACACAACACAAACTAATTAAATGAAACATAAATGGCTCCCGATTAGAATCAACATGCAAATCAGCTAGCAGAGTATCAGTAACAGACTTTTATTGGTCATTTTTGTAAATTGCATGACTTACACACCTGTTAAGTTTCATACCAGTGGTTAAAGTGGTTTGCTCTATATATGCTCTATATATTGTGTGTGTGTACGCATTGAAGAGATGCTAAGCTAACAGCTGACAGGTAGGGCACGCACGCACGCACGCACGCACGCATGCACGCACGCACGCACGCACGCACGCACACACACACACACACACACACAAACACACACACAAACACACACAAACACACACAAACACACACAAACACACTGTATTTCTGACGACTGACACGTAAACAAGGAGAATGTTTTTCTCTCGCGCTTGAACCACATCTGACAGATTATAACCGCTTTAACACTTTCAAAGTTGTGCGTCACAAAAACACTCCGTAATCCACTTAAAACGCTTCAGAAATCCACTTTGGAATCGCAAATTACCTATTGTAAATGCTGTAAACGGACGTTCTAAAAATTCTACCAGAAGACACCCTGCATGCAGCAGCTAAGAAAAAGGTCTATAGGGTCCCTTTGGCAAGGATTAACAGATTAATATCTAATTAATATTTTAGTTTGTTCTTTGTGCGATTGATTTGCAGAATTTAATGGGAATAGTTAGTTGTTTTAAGTATTTTTAATGTTGTTTAATGTTTGTCTTAAATGTGTGGTGTGATATATGTGTTGTAAATCTATTGCGCTGCAGAACAAAGCGCCCCAAAAAGTTTACAGTAACAGTACTGGGAAACACCCATACACACTCATTCACACACACACTCATACACAATGGAAAATTTAGTTTATCCAATTCACCTCTAGCTCATGTCTTTGGACTGTGGAGGAAACCGGAGCACCCGGAGGAAATCCCACACAAACACAGGGAGAATATGCAAATTCCACACAGAAATGCCAACTCGACCTAGCAACCTTCTTGCAGTGAGGCGACAGTTATAACCATTAAGCCATCGTGCCATCCCTTTTTTTTGGTCATTTTTTAACATTTTTATATTGTAAACAATAAAATCAAATTAAAATTGCATGTCCTCAAGAAAGCCAATGTGTGATTTGTACTAAATCATCTTCAAAGGCTAGAGGGTGCTCTCTTGGAAACCCATAAACCTGTCCAAATACACATGAAGAAATCCAGGAAATCTCCTGGTGAAAATGGCAGTTGCTGAATAAACAGAAGATTTAATTGCTTTCATTGATTCAGCACAACAAATAAACACAACAAGTGTTAAACAAGGATTAATTTTAAACCCTCGCCTGTAGTTATGAGGTGAGTTCTGAGATTATGAGAGAAGTAACGCAAACTGCTATCATTATCGAAGATAACGATTATCTGTATGTAATTATCCACCGAATAAACCAAAAATGTACATTTAATAAATTTTTTGCAAAGTTATCAGCGTACTCCGACTCCGTATCTGCATCTCTCCTCTATCTACACGCGTTAAAGGTTTATTAAAACTGGCTTTACACACAAAATGTGGATAAAAATTTCCTCAATTAAACTGCCAGCCCTAATCCCTTTCCACAGAAACACATTGAAATCTGACCTTGCCGTCCATGTTGGCGATGCTGCAGTTGCACTCGGTGGCTCCGTAAAATTCGCCGATCTGCTTGACTCTGAAGCGCTCGACGAAGGCCTCCCACACACTGGGTCGCAGGCCGTTCCCCACAGCCAAACGCACACGATGCTGCCGCTCGGAGGGACGCACAGGTTGAGCAAGCAGATACCGGCAGATCTCTCCTATATACTGAACAACCTGGAAGAGACAGAGAAAAACAGACTTTTGGAGTCATTTCAGTAACATTTCACATCAAAGACATTCTTGAAATTTATAAAGAAAAGCTTGAACTCAAGTTGTATTAAAAGCAATCAGGCTTCCAGCTTCAGGTTTTCTGGACATTTTACTATATAAACAAGCAAAATCTGTGTGATGAGGGTTTCTGCCCTCTTGATTATGTGATTTTATATTGTAATCATTCAGTATGCAAAATGTGGAGCAACTGTAAATGTGATCTCAGTTTAAGAATGACATCTTTGACATGCATTACATTAATTATTCACTCATTTGAACTAAAAAACTCAAGCCATATTCTCACAGCTTTAAGCGAAATAGGCAGCAGGATAAATTGAAACAAAAAAATAAAAATAAAATTGTGACATAGAAAAAGTTGCGATTATCATCTTGTCTTGGAAGCACAGCTCTCTGATCAGTAGAAAAATCTTCTCTGTAGAGCAGAAGTTGCAGAGAAACTGTAAATATGCCACAAAGAAAACACCCAGTAAATTAAACAGAGGTTTAACAGAAACATGTTAAAAAATGTGGCATTTATGTTCTTTCAGATGTAGCAAAAACACAGAGCAATAGTTCAATGAGAACTGCTGCAAACATGTCAAATGATTCGAATGAATGGTTATCTTTAATTTCAGAAATAAATAGTCTATGATTTTTGCCATAGCTCTATGCAGTAGCTCTGTGTAGTAAATGCCGCTCCATCTGAAAGCAGGTGCTGGAAATTTACAGCTGATAACACAACCAGCTTTACAGACAAAATGTGCATGAAAATTGCCTTCAATTAATCATGCAGCCCTAATTGACCCCTCGATGGCAGTTTGATTGTCAGGCAATCTGACCAATCATAAACATGATATTCTGTAACTTGCTGAATGGATGACTTGCAAGAACTTTAGTCTAATCTATTCTGTTCAGTTATTGGACTGCCACGGTTTGCATAATTTTACAAATTCAGATATGTAACTTGTGACATGGCAAAATAATCTGTGAACAACCTGAGACTCGGAAGATGACAGGTGAGATGAGCTAAATTAAACTGCACAGTCTGGAAACTGTCCAGATAAACAATAAATTATTCTTTACTGCTGCTTGTGTCTTTTACCGTCTCTCATAAATGCATTATAGTTATGTCTTCTCCGGGATGCCACCGTTTCAAGTGTTTGTGAATTATGTGTTAGGGAATCTATATGTAACATAAAAATTGTTTTCAAATGATCCGAACTGCCCATCACTATAGTTGTAGTATATGGCTTCAATGTTTTTTGTTAAGTTTTCATTTCAAATTATTCTCATATCCTGAATATTTCCCTCATATTCCTTTATATCTGCTTCTGTCTGAAATCAGTATACACATTTTCTAGAAATGATTCACTATTTTTGCACAAATTGATAGGTGAGCACCATGCCTGATAGCGAATGCCTGTCAGACATAGACAACTTGGGCAGGGTTTGCGAAGGGTCAATTAGTATTTATGGATGACCCCCCATATCTGAAATTAGCATGAAGCATTTGTACGGGATAAGTGAAGTCTGTGATTTTAGTCAAATTTACAGAATTATCTGCTGGATTATAATGTCAAGGTGTTCTGTGGTCCTGTTAGGTGGATTAAAAATAGTAATCAACACCTTACATAGAAGAACATTCTTTTCTGCACACAGCTATACATATTAGAGGTGGGCCGTTATTGAAGTTAACGCAAGACTCTTATCGCGTGATAAAAAAAATAATATATCGCTGTTAGTCTATTCTTAAATTTGGGTTGGAAGCTGGGTCTGTTCTACGCAAGCAATAATGTAGAGGTCTGTATTCCCGTGGCTGTACTGCGGGACCCGACCAGATATTTTGGGCCACGTGAATAAATTTGTTATAAGTAGTCTGGACTCTGTATCATCCAGCACATCATCTCCTTTCATGTAAGAGTTTCCTTGTAATTTTCCTCTTTAACTGCAGTTTGGCAGTTTCACCTTCACTCATGAACATTTCATTCATGCCGCCTTGACAAACTGGTGTATTAGATGCAAATAAGGAGTAAGGACTGGTAAGAGAGTTATGAAATTTAATAACACACGCCAAATAGAAAGAAAAAAAATCAGCATTTTGCGATGTGCGTGTGTGTATGTGCGGTCCCCTGTATGTAGATCGTTCTACATGACGGTAATAGTTTGATTGCAGTGTTTACTTCAATAATGCCACTAATATAGGCATACTCCATATGTCTTAATTCCATTTCTGTTAAAGGGCACCTAAGTTACTTCTTTTTTCAGATTTAATATAAGTGTTTTGCGTCTCCAGTATGTGTCTGTAAAGTTTCAGCTCAAAACACCAATCAGATTGATCATTATACCTTTAACAAGATTCTACTTCATACATTTTTCCACCAGGGGGTTATTTTGTCGTACTGCACCTTTAAGGCTAGTCTTCCCTGCTTACTGTTTTTACATGCCTTTCTTCTTTAGTCATTATTTGGGAAGCACTCATATTCTGAATGCCGTCAGCAGAATTCAAATGAGCCATTTTAATCTAGAATAATTCCAAGATTACAGTGAGATTAATTTAGATTTAAAAATAATAATCTATGCACACCTATAATACATATACATCTAATTTGATTTCACTCTTCAGATGGATTTCATAGTTACTTTTAGCAAACCCTAATCCTAACCCTGACCGTAGCGATTTCACCCTTCACCCATAATACTGCCAAAATACAAAACATTCCAATGCCAAGGGAAACAAACTGATATACGACTCTGACAAATCCTAACCAAACCATTGAGATTCCGATTATCTACTAATCTAATATTATCACATGGCCCCTGTGTTTTACAGAAATTTGTAGAAATAATTGTGCTTCACAGATGTGTCACATCAATGTTTTCCATGCATGACCTCTATAATAATTCCAGAGCAAATTACCTGCTGTTTTTCCACACACCCAATGAACCTCTCAGAAATCTTATCATGTAACCAATATGAATTTCTGTGATTGCCAATCACAATATGTTTTAGCCAATGTGACTTTTCATAAAAGCTATTACTACTGCTCTATTTCTACTTTGTGTGCGGCACTCAATGGCGGAGGTAATCATGGAGGTAAACCTGCTTGACACTTAGCGTAGAAACAAAAGATCACAATAAACAAGATCCAGATCTGAGAAATTGCTTAGAAAGGCCACTGTAATACAGATGTCAGATAAGATTAGTCCCTTTTTCATTTCCATGTTTTGATTATATAAGCAATGCCTGACATAAAAAATGCTAGTGGATTTCAGCATAATAGTCATAAAAATAACTGCAGCAATGCAATATTTAGTGAAAACTAGGGAAACATTTTAATTCAAGTTTAATTCAGATTTTATATTGATTATTAGTATTGATTTGCGATGACGTATTTGATTGGGTTGCGCCAGTTGAGGTTTATGAGATGGGGCAATGTTTATTTTTCTGATCAGTCACATGAAAAAACACAGGCCACTGGCCACTGTAATAAACACAACTATGTTAGTCTTGTCATTATCATAAATACAGATGTTAGGGGATGATAAACGTAACGCTTATGTCATTTGCAAGACTAGTCCCATCGGAATAGGGCTAATGCTCAGATTTATCATTTCATTTAAGGACAGTTAAAAATACTAATGGTATATCCAAATGACAATGACTCGATGGCATTTTCAATTTAGATTTTAAAACACATTCTGATATTATATCGAGGAGGTTATTATAATGGATGCCATGTTTTATATAAACAACAATTAGGTTGCCATTTTGCTGTTGAGCCATTGCTAAAATCATAAAAAATATTTTTAACATGCATGAAATAAAATTAGGCTTAAGTTTACTGAAATAAAAATTCAACACAAATTATATAGATATAAAAAACTAAAATAAATACATTACTAAATCATAATTATTAATCATAAATATATAAAAAGTGTAAAATTATTAATTAGAATTACAGCAATATCTCAATATTAAAATAACCCAGATCCAAAAAAAAAAAAAAAACTAACCAACTAAATTCATATAATCAAATATAATTAAATAAGAAAAATATCATGTAAAAATAATCATGTAATTGCCATTTTATTTCAGGATAGTTAAGTGTAAAATTGGCCAAACCCCAAAAAACTTTGATTTAAAGCGACTTTGTGATAAATTCAACTGAAATCTGTGCACACATGTACAGGTGCTGGTCATGTAATAAGAATATCTTCAAAAAGTTGATTTCACTAATTCCATTTGAGAAGTAAAATTTGTATAATAAATACATTCATTCCACACAGACTGATATATTTCAAGTGTTTATTTCTTTTAATGTTGATGATGTTGGTGACAACCAATGTAACCTCAAATTTAGTCTCTCAGAAATTTAGAATGTTACTTAAGACCAATACAAAAAATAATTTTTAACAAACTGGAAAGTATGAACATGAAAAGTATGAGCATGCAGAGCACTCAATACTTAGTTGGGTCTCCTGTTGCCTGAATTACTGCAGCAATGCGGCAATCCAATGGAGTGGATCAGTCTGTGGCACTGCTCAGGTGTCATGAGAGCCCAGGTTGCTCTGATAGTGGCCTTCAGCTCTTCTGCATTGTTGGGTCTGGCATATCGCATCTTCCTATTCACAAGAGCCCATAGATTTTCGAGTTCGCTGGCCAATTAAGAGTAGCATGAAGAGAGATAGCATGGTCCTTAAACCAGGTACTGGTAGCTTTGGCACTGAGTGCAGGTGCCATGTCCTGTTGGAAAATGAAACCTGCATTTCCATAAACTTGGCCAGCAACAGGAAACATGAAGTGCTCGAAAACGCCCTGGCATAGAGCTGCATTGACCTTGGACCTCAGAAAACACAGAGAAGCAACCCCAGCAGATGGCATGGCACCCCAAACCATCACCACAAGCAACACATGTGTATTGTGTGCCTCTTCTCTCTACCTCCAGACTCCAGGACCATGATTTACAAATGAAATGCTAAATTCACTTTCATCAGAAAACATAACTTTGAAACACTCAGCAGCAGTTCAGTCTTCAGCCCAGATGAGATGCTTCTGATGCTGTCTGTTATTCAAGAATGCCTTGACACAGGGAATTTAACAGCTAAAACCTATGTCTTGGATATGTCTGTGCGTAGTGGTTCTTGATGCACTGACTCCAGCTGCAGTCCACTCTTTGTGAATCTCCCCCAAATTTTTGAATAGGTTTGGTTTCACAATTCCTTCCAGGGTGTGGTTATCCCTATTGCTCGTACGCATTTTTCTACCACATATTTTCCTTTTTCTTCACCTCTCTATTAACGTGCTTGGACACAGATCTCTGTGAACAGCCAGCCTCTTTTGCAATGACGTTTTGTGTCTTGCCTTCCTTGTGCAAGATGTCAATGGTCGTCTTTTGGACAACTGTCAAATCAGCCGTCTTCCCCATGATTGGGTTGCCTACAGAACTAGTGAGAGCAGGCCTTTGCAGGTGTTTTAAGTTAATTAGCTGATTAGAGTGTGACACCAGTTGTCTTTAATGCTAAACCTTTTAACAATTTTATATGACCAGCACCAGTTTATTTAATGTGTTAGGAAAATATATTAAAAAAGCAGAAAGCATTTTCATAAAACATAGAAAAACAGAATGCAAATATGACATTCTCAAACTGTCATTTTAATAATCTGGAACAGTCTTATAAGCCATTACTGACCCAAACACCAGTGACTTACAGTGCAGTTGTGTTTGATGCAGTCTTCCCAAAAGCGACTTGCTGAAAACTTCCTCTTGACCACCACAGTTAAACCATGAATCAGACACTGGCCCACCCCCATTATATTACCTGTTCAAGAGTAAAAACAGTGTACAGAGAAAACTATATGTCAGTATATTAATGCCAGCAACTGATTAAAAACTTTCTGCTGTTTCTATAGTGCGTTTCATACAAGAAAAACTGTATCAAATCAGCTTTTCAGAGAAAATAGAGGAAAAAATACGTAAAAATCAACAAAATGCTGCTGATATTGTTCTAGTTAGTACAGTTATGTTTGTGAAATGGTCCATACCTGCTGAGTGGTAAAGGGGTAAACAGTCATAAATGATGTCATCTGGCCGCATACGAAAAGAAAGGTAGCCGAAAGCAGCAATCCTGTAATACCTAGCAAATAAAACAAGTACATTAAAAGACTGATGTGAAAGTTTTCCACTGTCAGGCTGATTTATATGTGGCGTGTCTGCGAGCAGGTTACCGGCTGTGCACCACTATAGCAGCTTTAGGGAGTCCTGTGGTGCCAGACGTGTAGATGTAGAACAAATGATCTGTGGGAGAAAAGAGGAACACTGATGAGAAGTGGATTTATTGAGTGACAATTTCTTAATCTATTGGCAATTGGATGATGATATTGTGAATAGTTTTGGATATCGGTAGGCATTGACTTGATTTTTTTTTTCATACTATGGATTTTGATTGCAGTTTCCAACATTCTTCAAAATATCTTCTTTTGTGTTCAATAGAAAAAAGAAAGTTACAAAAGTTTTAGGATCACTTGAAGGCGAGTAAATGGTGAGTGAATTTCCTTTTCATTTAACTGTTAGCGGTCTGACCAGATAAGTAAAAAAAAAAAAAAAAAAAAAAAAAAAAAAATATATATATATATATATATATATATATATATATATATATATATATATATATATATATATATCTGTAAATTGACACTTTTTCCATTTTTTAAATTGAATTATGAGACCTTGGTCTTTCTTCAAAAAAAGTGTTGATCTTGAAAAGTTTGACAATGTGACTTATAAACATTTAGAATAGTTTAACATGATATATTGTCAGGGTTGGTGTTGTATATTATGCTGCAAAAATCTTTAAATTGTTATTTTAAAAACTTGGCTCTTTTTTTATTATTTATTAAACAATATCTTGTCTTAAACTACTAAAATGTCAATAAAAGTCACTTTGATGCACTGTAAAATTGAATTTTAGCATCAAAAGCCGACAGAGCAGAGATACACATATCATAATGCCATACACAACCGTAAATAAATTTAAACACAAAATACAGAAACTGTTAATTAACAGATATCTTTTACAGTTACATTATTGCTAAAGAAACACACTTAGAAATAATAATAATAATAGTAATAATTGCTTATATTTATATTGCTCTTTTCTGGACACTCAAATCGATATTACAAAATCTCCTCCACCAGTGTGCAGCATCCACCCACCTAAATGATGCAACAACAGCCATTATGCATCAGACCGCACACCACACACCAGCTGATTGGTGGAGAGGAGACAGTGAATAAGCCAACTATGACATGAGGATGGTTTAGAGGCCTTAATGGACGGAGGCAAATGGGCAAATTTGGCCAGGATGCTGGAGTTTTTCTCTTTTAAAGGACTCTTTATTAAAAGGACATCCTGGGATTTGTAACGACTACAGAGTGTTGGGACCTCCGTTTAACATTGCATCCAAAAGAAGGCGCTCACTGAACAGTATAAAGTCCCCATCAATATACTGGGGCGTTAGCACCCACACAGACAGCGGGTGAGCACCCCCTTTTGGTCCCACTAACACCATTTCTGGCAGCAACCTTATTCTCCCATCCAGGTACTGACAAAGCACAGCCCTGCTTAGCTTTAGTGGGAAACCATGTAATGCCAAGTAAGTTGCAGAGAGCTAGTTGCCAGCAAAATACAACTTATTCTATTCAGCAAGTACATTAAACTAATACAGTTCTTTTGTATTTTAAATTTATTAAGAAATCCTGATAAAAAGTTAAGCGACACAACATTTTTTCCACTAAAAGCTGATGTAATGTACTGAAAATTCAGCTAACAACTTAAGAATGAACGAAATAGTAAAATATATTAAAGTATACCTACAAATTTAAATAAAAAATAAATGAATACATAGATTCATTCATCAAAAGTAGGGCTGCACGATATTGGAAAAATGTGACTTTGCAATATTTAGTTAGTTTTGCCACGACATATATTGCGATACGAGTGTAGTTTCACCAGATGATAAGAATAGCTGTATTTGAAAAGATTTCCTTAATTTAAATCGACTGTTATGACCAAGTCTTTTTTATGCAGTGGATCTGCATAAATTATAATAAATTACAAGCAAAATAACTAAATAAAAAAAAAAATAAACAAACAGTACTTTATGGTTTTCTGGAGAGTATAACAGTATTCAAGTACAGCAATTGACCAATTAATTATAAAATAACGAGGTCATTATTGTATTAAAAAAATTCTATATATTCTTATCCTGTGATGCGACTATTACAGATATACACATTGCGATATCGATGATCAAACGATAAGTTGTGCAGCCCTAATTAAAACAGTTGTGTTGTAAAAATATTTCACAATGTTTTGATGGTGTTTTATGTATTTTTGATCAAATAAATGCAGTCTTGGTGACACAAACAAAGACCGCAAATCTTATAGCAAACTTTTGAACACTAGTGTACATACATGAAGACATTTGATTGTTCTGATAAAACAATACAGAACTGTCCATTATTTACTTCTCATTTTCTTAATATTCTTTTATGATGTTAACTATTTATAACAATTCACACTACAATTAGAAAAAAATACCAGCAATTTGACTAGGACATCATACCACGGTTATAACCAAATTTAGTATTTATATTATATTTTAAAATATAGTTTTTATGATATAGTCTTTTTATATTAATTTTAAAATTCACTGAAAATTTATATTAAACCTGAAATAAAGCATATTATCATAAAATAGGAAATGCAGACTGGCTTTTAATGTAATATCTTTACACTGACGCTGCGATACCTTTATTACCTGTAGTGTGTACATTTCAAAGTTATTAACATCGAAACTGTGAAACATTTTGGAAACAATCATTGAAACATTTTGAAACAGTGATATCCCTAATGCACAATATCCTGTAGATTTTACATAATGCATTAAGTATTCAGAATTGGCTGTGCTTAGCACTATTAAACTATGCAATTCTGATATTCTTGAATATGGCTTTATCTTATTACCATCCTGTCACTGAAGCACTTGATTCAGACAGATTATCGTCTTGTATAATTAAAACAGCTCTCAAACGGAACGCGGGGCTATTCGACAGATCGCCATCACTTCACAAGGGTGGAAACCATTTATTCGAGCTAGCGAAACTCCATGATGTGCAATTAAAAATTTAATTAATATGCTACTCAAAGTTGTGGCTGATTCAGGGCTATTACACAAAGAAACCAATTTCACTGCCAGTAGCACATTCCCAAGTGTTTCAATAATGGCTTTGTGTAATAGGCAAACCGAGGAAGACATCAAAAATATACTTTACACACTAACAACTGACAATAAACACAACTAGCCATTGGGTTCAACAGACAAGGTCATTTTAACACTGGTCCTTTACTTGCAGCAATTGTCTAGGAATTACTGACTTACCTTGGTAAAATGGCCCACAACACTTTATTATTTTTCTACAGAACTGCTGCAGCAAAGGTTGTAAAAGCACAAGACATGAAATAAATGTAATACCCCAGTGCATTGAGAGTCAGAGTAATGTGCACATAAAAATGCTAAAAACCCCATCTGCCAACCTCTCGATATGGCTCTCTACAGCTGGAGTTTCGACTTTTTATCGTGCAGGGAAGGAGTTAAACATCTACTAAAGCCCTGTTCAAACCATTATTTTCCTGGTTTTGACAAAATTTGCTTGATGCAGTGTGTGTTGAGGAATCCTAATCCGTGTTGGGACACAAGATTCAATAATTTCCTCTAGTGCAGTGTTTTATAGTGTACAACAACCAATGGCATGCCTGCGACACTTCACAACATCATTGCAGAAATTATACTGAGGCTTGTTGCACAAAATGAGTTGAACAAACTTTGGGTTGCAGAGTAAGTTTCAGGTTGACAAAACCAAACAAATACAACCAATTCAGAACTTAAAGAACCCCTTTTATGGATTAAAAAGGGTAATTTTTTTGGTTTTGGCGGTCTCCAACAACAAACTAATATGCATGCAAGGACAAAAACTATTTCATTGTTTTAAAATATGCATATATTCATACCTAATTGTTCCAACGACTCCCATATTATTTTTTCAGCGATTCATTTGTTCCCAAACCACTCCTTAGCACGATGTTAATCGGCATTGATTGGTTTGATGACCCAGGGCTCTATTTTGACGATCCGTGCACAAAGTTCAAAGCGCAGGGCGCAAACGTATTTAGGGCATGACAGAATCCACTTTTGCTAATATAAGGACGGAAAAATCTACTTTGCGCCATGGGGCATGCTCTAAAAGGGTTGAGCTTGTTTTCTTAATGAGTTGTAGGTGTGTTTTGAGAATAAACCGCTCTGAGTCTCATCTCCCATTCCCTTTAAGTGCCAGTTTTGTCGCGCCATGGTGCATTTGCTATTTACATGATGACTTTGTAAGTGGAAAAACTGAGCATTTCACTAGCAAGAAAACAGTTAAACAGAGCATCTGCTGCACGAGAATGAGAGATAAGGCCTCTCAATATCTACTTTCACTTTCACTCTCGTAGATAGGGAAACCTTGTAGGCACAGACATCAATTTGCCTATAAATAATTAATTTTGTTTGTTAAGCGCAAAGATTTGTTTCAAAACTATTTCTAAATTCAATTCTAATTTCCAGCAGACGAATAAATCAACAATAATAATGAATTGTGTTCAAAAACCTGAGTTATATCCTAAAACACATGCTGTGCCCCATATGGTCTAAAACCTGACAGGTGGGCAAATCTAAGCTTGTTTTTAATAAAACAAATATAAATATGGATATAATAAATAATACTGCTAATAATGATACAACAAAAGCAAATTCTCACGAATAAACTGAAAAAGCCCCCGAGATGAAGAAGGCATGAAAGTATGGTTTTTAAATTTATGTAGGCTAGAAAATAATATGTTTTGTAATATTTTAGTCCTTTATATTTTTATCCTATATCTATCCTTATTATATCCTATATATACTTAATATTTATATTATTTTTCATATGTAAAGATATTTGCATATTGCTCTATATCTTGTGTGTATTAAGCAGTGTGCAAGCGAGTCACACAACTAATGCGCTCTGCGCTGGACAATAGACCGGCTTTGTTTTGGTCTATTGAACAATCTATTATAGTTTCTCAAAATAGCAATGCACCACCAATGCGCCACAGAACGGCTTTCATTTTAGACCAAAACACCTATGGGCGCACATATGAGCGCAAATGCATTTGCTATTTAAACAGCGTGACGCAAAACGTCAAAACGACTCTAGCG